GTCCTGGCTCCTCTGTTCTTCCTCCGTCTACCACCTTGCTCTTTATTGTTAAGCCACAAAGAGGGCATTTCTGCTCAGCCATGGCCAGCGTGAGGAGGCTGAATTTTTTCATTCTGGGACAAGAAAAGATCAGCAGCTGAGCATACACACCCCTCGTCAGTATAGGGAAACCAGTTTCCTTACTGCAAAGTCACCTGCCTGTCTTTCTGCTTGCCACAAGTCCTTCCCTGTGTTCTGCCCACACTCAGACGCACACTCAGCCTCCTGATCTTTCTGCTGAATCTCTTCCTCCTCTTCCTCCCTCCCCTCCCCTCCCCTTCTGGGATGGTTAGTGTTGGTTATTAGCAAGACCTGGATCATCCAGGAGACAGCATGGGGCACGCCTGTGAGGGGTCCTGTTGATTAGGTTAACCGAGGTGGGAAGAGCATCCTAAAAGTGGATGGCACATTCCTTGGCTTGGGTCCCAGAGTACATAAAGAGGAAGAGTGCTGAGTACAGCATGCATGGCGAGCTGCCTCCTACCCGTGGGGGCAGTGGGACCAGCCTTTTCCAGCTGGGCTGCCATGGACCACACCTCAAACTGTGACCCAGAACAAAGCGCCCTTCAGTTGTTCTATCAAGGTGCTTTATCACAGCCATAGAAGAGTAACTAAACCTCCTGTCCTCCCTCCTTTCTCTCTCTAGTTTCCTCTCCCTCCTCTTCTCCCCTCTTTCCCTGCCCTTCTTGCCCCTTCCCCCTTCCTTTTCCTCTCTTCTTCCCCCCTCTCCTCCTGCCGTCTCTCTTTCCCTCTTCCTCTCTTCTGTTCTTCAGTGCTACAAAAGAAACATCATCTTGCTGGAAGCCCTTCACCACCAAGCCAGGCCTCTTTTATGCTTCCTTGCTGCCCCTCCTCTCGTTATTTACCCTGCCTCTCCTGCCCGTAGTTTTATTGCTAAAGTTAGTGTCCTTCTCCCCAAATGACTATTGCTAGACAATGTTTATGAGTTGTTCTATGGCTCTTAGTAGAGCTGTTTTTGTTTTACTACCTTTTCCTTCCTTCCTTGGGAAATTCTGTGGTTTTATCTCCTAGTGGCAATGCTTAGTGGTGTCCACTTGGCTGATTGTGTCTGGGCACAGGCTGCGCTACCTTGGTAGCCACTGGTGTCCACTTGGCTGATTGTGTCTGGGCACAGGCTGCGCTACCTTGGGCTCCCCTCTTACTTATCTTACTGTTTGGCAACACCAACACCGAAGCAGTCTCTGGGGAGTGTTTCTTTTGCTAATTGTCACCTTGTCTTTGGGCCGCTACTCTGGTCATAGCTTTCATTCAAGAGAGCACACTCTCCTCCTCCTGCCTTCCCAAGTATTTGTTGATCTCAGTGCTTTCATCGTGTCCAGGTTTTTCCAAAGCCCCTGATTATTTCATTAGGACATGCATGTGGCCATATCCACAGCACTGGAGCTGCACTGGGTTTGTTTCAGAAAGTGTGGAAGCCACATTGCCCTGCAGTTAGAGGCCATCTTAGAACCCAGGGACCGGTGGGTCCGACCTGGCTGTCTCCGGACGCACACACTGTTTTCTGAAGGGAGAGGGGTCTTAAGGGAACATTCTTCAAGCAAGTCATGAAAAATGAATTGTATCTTTTCCTCCTGGAACTTCCCCGTCACTTGTCCTGTACGATGCTGTTTCTCACTGCTCTCACTAGTGCCACCTCATGGCAGTTTGCTTACTCCTACAGGACCGAGGTCGCATCTGCCGGTACCCAGGTAGGACAGAGCAGTTCTGTGCACAGTGGGTGTTGGGCATATTTATTACCTCAGTGTCAGCCACTCATCTTAATAGAGCAGTAACTGTGTGGAACTGGGATTTGGCTCTCAGTTCCAGATAGGAAACAGATAATTTTCTGTGTAGAACTTGGGGCGTCCCTTTTCTGTCTTGAACATGCTCCAACAGGTCTGTCTGTCTTCATAATTTGCAACCCTGGGGTACCAAGGCTGACTGCACATGAGGTGTACTCAGGAAGACATTTCAATTATTTTTTCCTGTACTGTTGAAGGTGGGTCTGGCCATCAGGAGTTCGCACCCTTCGTGCTGTCACTCACGGGACCCGATTCTTCCTTAGTCTTTGCTCAGAACAAGAAGGGCCTGACAAATGACCTTTGTGACAATGTCATGGGGAAGAATAGGTGTCCTTAGAGTATAAAAGGAAAATAAATGATCAATTTGAAAAATAGCAAATTTATAATACAACTGAATGAAATAAATGCAAATCATCTAGATAACTGTGGCTCAAGTTGTAGATACTCATTTGTGTATTTTCATTTTCCAATATATTCTATTTTGTTTTACATTTGCTCCTAGCCAGGTTTAAGATTGATCCTTCCCTGGAATACAGTACAAAGAATAAGTGAGAATGAACGACAAATACACCATACAGCAGATCAAGCCTGCCTTTTGGAATTCCAAACTAATTCTTCTTTTCTTCCTAGGTTGCCTCTCGGTGCTGCCTTGGTGGGATTGGGCACCCAGAATGCTTCATTCTATGATGATCTATTAATAAGGTGACCTTGCTAGAGTTTGGAACAGGGCCTCAGGTAGGTGGCTTTTATCATTATATGGCATGATTTTCAAAGTGATCAGTTATTCCCGATCCTTAATTATGTAAGCTGTCATAGTAGAAGCTTTGAAAAGCCTGCCACATAATAAGCATGCCACGCAGGGTCTTAGGACTCGCCGTGCTCTGTGATCTGCAGGACTTCCTTTAACCTGTCATCTGTACAAGGCAGAGAACAGCTTTTCTGTTTTGGAATGCATTGCTTCTGTACAGCGTGTTTGTCTCCTCTCGGAGAGCCCACAGATGGGTAAACTACGCCCCAGAACCGCTGTGTGTCCCATTTGCCGAGAAACTCTTACAAGCTGTGTGCGGGTAGAGAAGCACATCAGGTATTAGGCAGGCTCTCCAGAACGGGGCCCATGCTAGAGTGCAGAGCTCAGTAGGACCTGAGCAGCTTCCCACCATTGCTGGGAAGGGGACACACAAGAGCATCTAGATTCCCCAGCTGTAGTCATAACTCAGTGGCACAGAATCGAGGTACAGCAGTATTCGGAACCCAAGCACAGCTGGATTTGAGCCAGGTAAGTCTATCAGCGGGACCTTAAGCCCAAGACAGGAGTTCAGAGTCTCGGACCCCATGACTTCAGGAAAAGGAGCCTGGAAAAGGCCAAAGTGGTTACTCAGTGGGTTCAGACTCCTAAACTGGTCGTCTATGGCCAGTGCCCTCCCCTCCCCCAGCCCTGAGAAACTAGGCCTTGGACTGAGAACTAAACAGAACCTCTTAGAAACATGAAAAGAACTAATCATCCAAGTAAAGGATCATAAACTAATATTAATACCAACAGCATTCTATGGAGAATAAATACTTAAGCTTGAGTTAGCATAAAATTTTAGTCAGCTCTACACTGCAGATAATTTTAATAAAAGTGTTAATGATTGTTTTAATTTTGTGGGATTATCTTTTAAACTGTTATTAATGATGGTATTTTTATTGATAATGATAGGGACTTTTAGTTTTCATTTACTTTTTGAAAATTTTGTACATGTACATAATGTACCAGACCCATCCATCACCCCATGTTCCAGTTCCCCCTAGGACTTTGAATCACATCTCCCTCCCACCTCATGTCCTCCTTTTAGAATTGTGTTATTCTGAGTTCTGTTACTGTGGAGCTATTTTTAGTAGCTAGAGAAAGGAAAAATACTTACTTTTTCTGAACCACACTGTTTATACAAAGCTTCCCTTTTTTGACTTTCTTGTATTGTGATCAGTTGATTTTTTTCCCTCTGATATTTACAGTGACATCCTCATTCTTAACCTCACATATAGAATATTCTCTTCAAAGGCTTTAGAATTCCGCTTGAAATGATTTTTCTTTCCGTAAGACTCTCGTTCATTTCCATACAATGCATCGGGATCAGTACAGGGCACATGTGCTTATGGGTTACGGGGGCAGAGCATGTGAACAAGGACGGTTTTGGAATGTCCACCATTTCGTTCCCAGCCTGCCTGGTCCGAATAGCATGTGCCTGAGTCCCCTGCTTGCACTCTTGTCTCCTGGAGCCACCTGCTGGGGTGCGGAAGCAGTAAGGTTCCCCATGGCCTCCAGTCATCCTGGGCACATCCCGCTTGCCCCACTGTCAGAGCACACTAACCGTTTCCCTGCCTTAGGTTTTCTCTGGTCATGCTTTGCGGCTGGGTGAGGTTTCCAGAGCTCACAACATGCTTCCCTGCTTTCTCTGCTTCAGAAATCCCTTATCAGGGACTGCAGCTTTTCTCAACAAATATTTATCAGGTAGAGCTGGGCAGTGGTGGCACACGCCTTTAATCCCAGCACTCAGGAGACAGAGGCAGGTGGGTCTCTGAGTTCGAGAAACCCTGTCACACAAAAACCCCAAATAAATAAAGTTCATCAGATGACCACAGCACGGCAGGACACTAGCTATGTCTCTTGATGATGTTGCCTAAGACTAATCCTATTCAGCTTGGAGTGGGAATAAAGTTCCCACTCAAGTGGGAATAAAGAAAAGTTTTGTTTCTAGATGTGATTTTAACCCTGACAGTCGCTCGATGTAGCACAGGGTGCACAGGCTAGTGGCAGGGGCAGAACCTTTCGTGAGGACTGGGTTCTGTTCTGTATCCATGCATTGCCTTGTTCCTTGAGCCTCAGCATGCAGCGTGGCCAGTGTTTATCCCTCTTCACACTGCACGGCCTACATTTACACCGTGCACTACTTTGATAGCTTGAAAGTGATTTCTCACATTTTCGTTTTGTTTTGTTTTTTTCGAAACAGGGTTTCTCTGTAGCTTTGGAGCCTGTCCTAAACTTACTTTGTAGACCAGGCTGGCCTTAAACTCACAGAGCTCCACCTGCCTCTGCCTCTGCCTCTGCCTCTGCCTCTGCCTCTGCCTCTGCC